GATTGCAATTTTCCTCGTGTTTTTTTTCTTACCTGCTAGACAGTTCCAGCGCTTATTTTTTTTTTTGTGTTTGCTGACTGGTCGGTGTGGCTACGTCGTCAACTCGTGTGTTACGGTGTAATTAACCGGAAGCAAACTTTTGTATCGTATGCAAACCTTTGCATAAACTTAATGGAACATAATTATTTTTATTGTTTATCTCGTTTACAGGGTGTTAGTTAGTCTTCCGTCTATCATTGGAGCTGTCCGTCGTAGTTTTGGGGCCTGCTTGTTACGTAATTATTGTCTCTTTTTTTGCCGTTAATGTTACGCGAAAAGGATAGGCGAGCAGCATAAGTGGACCTGAGGCAGGCATCATTTCTCGGCTGCATGTGAGGGAACAATCTCACTTATCGGATCATTAGCCAGCTCGTGTCCCAATGCGTCAGCATGAGAACGTTTTATCAATATTGGGGATCGCGCCTGCGTTTTTTTTGCACTTACATCATTTTTCGTATCATTTGTTGCTTGATATGGATACTGGATATGTGATCGCACACATTCTTCTGTTGTCAGCAGGTATTGTTGTATTCTAAAACTGGCTCACTCACCTCGACTATTTTGTAACCTAAAAAGGTCGTTTTATTTAGGATAAATTAACTGCTTTGGGTCAAAATGGGTCATGTGTGACCTTGACCTGGAATCATGTTTTAAATGGACTTTTCACGATCCTTAAAGCATCATCTCTTCATTCAGCGTGAATTAAGGGCATCTCTCTCCACCCCGGAACTACTATGGACGTCAAACCCCTTGAGACCCCACTTTTTTGCGATAATTCTTAAATGCGTCAACTCTCGTTGACAATATTCTGGCAATAAGTGTTTTAGAACCTGCCGAAACTTTTATTACTAAGGTATTTTGACGCCAAACGATTATGAAAGGTACTTCTCATTCACTTGTAATGTTAAATTTCACGGAACGAATCTGCTGTTTGGGTAGACTACGCGCTCATGGGGCGGAGCCACGCAATGACGTCAGCGCTAAGCTCCGCCCTACCCCTCCGGCGCTCCTTGCCCGGCGACCGGTCACTCGCGTCTCTCGCTCCATTCAGGCTTGATGGTGGGCGGTAGCTGGTAGCGGTAGCGGGCGCTGGTAGATGGCATTTAGAGCAGATGGCGCTGGTGGCGGGGCTCGAGTGTGGCCGAGCGCAAGCCTCTGCCCGGGCCTGAATTGACCGTAGCATTACGAGTGAATGAGAAGTACCTTCCATAATCGTTTGGCGTCAAAATACCTTAGTAATAAAAGTTTCGGCAGGTTCTGAAACATACGTTGCCAGAATATTGTCAACGAAAGTTGACGCATTTAAAAATTATCGCAAAAAAGTGGGGTCTCAAGGGGTTTGACGTTCATAGTATGTATGTGTTCGGGCGCCGCTCTGCACTCTCATTACCGAGTCACTGTGGCCCGCCCAGCCATGCCGGCGCTCTCGTTTTGGGGATGTCACCGCTCCCGTGACCCTGCCCGGCTCGCGGCTGACCTCTGGAAGTCGCGGTCTGGCAGCGTGGCCATGATCGATTGGAGAGAGTGCGGAGTGGCGCCGGCGGCGTAACGGCGCTCCGGCCCTCTGTCCTCCGGGTCTAAACGGCCTCCCGTTGGCTATCCCCCCCCCCCCCCCCAGTCATGACGCATCCCGCCCGCCAGGGTGTCGCCAAAAGCGCTGGACTGGCGAGGGGGGGGGGCTGTTTGGGGAAGCAGAGGTCCAGCAATTCTCTATTGAAACACTACCAGGATTTGATAGTACGGGATAGGTTCGGGATACGATGATTTACGTGCATGCTGTTCAATTTTCTAGTATGCCCAGGAATCCTACTGTGACTGCAGGCGGGATGAGTGGATTCATAGATTGATATATCGGGGGTGGGGCTTCCAGGGGATCCAGAGGAGGGGCTGGGGGGGGGGGGGGCTAAAACCCCTAACCGAAAAAATTTGCCGCCCTGCGGAGCGACGAAACGGGACGCCGCAACACTACAAACATCACTATGCCCACTAGCATCAGATGAAATATAAATGGGGGAAGTTGTCTTCAATTTTCACCATACACGCCATAATTGTACGTTTTGCCGCCCCTGATAGGTGGGAAACATGCCGCCCTCATGCAGTTAGCCTCTGGCCGAAGAAAATCCGGATCCGCCTCTATGATATAGCTCATGAAATAATTAACATACGTACCTTTGAAGATATGTTATCACCATAATTTGCCGCAAGACGACTTATCAGTTAATCGGCTACATTCATTTTTGACAACTTGCATGGCGGATTAGCCGGCGTTCTAATAAGTTTGACTGTCAGACAGTAAATTGGAGCGCGCCGCGCGACGTGCCACCTTGATGGCTGAATATCGAATATGTCGAATTCGGTGCAGGTCCTTTGATGAACGACGCATCTCTATACGGCCGACCCCACCTGTATGAGGCCGTGAACGACAGTCTGGTCAATCTGGTGGCTCTGTTAAATTCAACGATCATTAACAACATTAAAAGGTCATCCTGTTTTGACGGCTGTGTTTGGAGTATTTCACATGTTTGACCCCTATGAACTTTCAAAGTGTATCAGTTGCTTTAAATGTAAACTCAATGTACTCTTTTTCTTGGAAATTAAAAGACGAGTGCCCACTTTTTGTTTATATCTTGCATATCTGACCCTTCGTGTCGTTCCTCAGTGACAGTGCACGCCGCTTCGGTTACCGGACTTTCTCGGACGAACGAGTCTAAATATTGCACGGGCATCTATGGATGCTAAGAGTGGGACATTGCGGCGGGCGATACCGGCTGGCAGATTTACGAGCTATTGTGGCGGTCTCTGAGAGGCTATCTTGACCGGCCGGCCGGCGCGGCATCTGTCCGAGACGGGGCGGAATTCATGGTTTGTGGGCTCGGTGACCGGAACGAATCGCTAAACTCGCTGTCACTGCTTCTGAGGAGGGGCATGAATCATCGGCCGCACTTACTGGACGCGGACAACGGTAGCGACTGGCGGTCGGCCTTGTACCCGTAAATATTGTATAAGTTTAATAAGAATTATATAAGCTTTCGTGGTATTTAGGGAGCAGACTTTACCATACATCATGTATGTGTAATGAGTAATTGGAGGACCTTTGTGTTTGACTTGCCACGTGAAGTTAACAATATAGGTGATATATACTTTATATGCCTTATATATTTGTATATTTACATATTTATTTATTTTATATACTTTATATACTAGGGGACATATGCTAATAACTTTTGGGTCTCAGGTCATGCTCGATAACCCAATCGCAGTGCTTATTCATATCCCCTTAGCCAATCGCAGTGCATATTCATATCCCCTTCTCCGAATTATGTGACGATTGGTTGGCTGGTTGGCTGGCCGGACTAGACGTGGCTTTATCAGCCGGAAGGGGGACCTTTCTACTGCGTTGCGCTCTGCAGGCCGCCGTCGGGCCGAGAGTTGGATGGGAGAGGGTGGCGCCAGCATCCATCGATCCGTCCCCGGCCCGGCGGCAGCACAGCCCCAAACCCGACCCCGGCCCCGGCCCCGGCGGCAGCACAGCCCCAAACCCGACCCCGGCCCCGGCCCGGCGGCAGCACAGCCCCAAACCCGACCCGGCGGCAGCGGCCGGACACAGCCAGCCTCGGTGCCGAGCCAGAGACAGCCCCGGCCCCGAATAAACAGTCCCTAGGCCTGTCCCGGGGGGGGCGTCAGACCTGGACGCGGCAGCACAGTCCCCAAACATTGTCCCAGCAGTAGCATAAGCCACCATTAAACAACCTCGGCCCCGGCCCTGGTGGTACAGTCCCCCGACAGCTCCTAACTCTGCCTCGGCAGCACAGCCCCTCAGACCCAGCCCCGTGGGCCCAGACTCGGTCCGGCTGAGCGAAGCCGAAACCACGCCGTCTCTGACGCCGCTGCAGTCAACACGGCATGTTTGGATTGGCCTGCGGAGTGGCCTATGGCGATCCGAGAGTCGGTGAGCTAGCTGGCAGTCGGCGGCGCCGCCGGTGCCACCCGGTTTGATGTGTTTGACGTTTTCCCTGACGGCTCTTTCAACGATCGGGCATTGGGCTCGGGTGATGAGTGGGCTATTTGGGAGTGAGCTCGCGTAACGAGCGGGCATTCGGAAAATTGGGCTGCTGATTACGGCATTGTTGAAGTGAGGACTGTAAATTGCTGTCCATCACCCGTATATTTCACAACTTTTTTGAACTTATTTGCCTTTTTTCCTCTGGTTTTCACCTATCATCCGGGTAGGCATTTTTCATGAATTGAGCTTCCTAGTTGTTCCTGTCTTGCCACATCTCAACCAATGCTGTCCTCGGGATCCATGGGGGCCCAGGCTGTCCGCTTTTGTACTGTTGGTTTTAGACGGTCTTGGCTATGCTATTCTTTTGTGAGCCAGTATGATGTCCGAGCTGTATATTGGCCAGTCCAATAACAGGATTACCAAAGCTTACCAAAAGGATTGCACCTTATCCAGCGATGGGATGCGCTCAGGCTGGATGCTGCTAGCTGAGCGCCCACGAGCCCATGTTTGGTGGGCTGTAGGCTGGACGGCCGACCATGTCGTGCACTGTTTACTGTCTCAGTATGATCTCAGTTCACGGACGTGCCTGGCGGCATGGTCTGACGCTAACTGCGCACGGCTCGTGCTGTTGCTAAAGCAGCACGGCCGGTGGTGCCACTGGTGCTGGCTGACCTTAGCTGGTCCGCGCTGGCAAAACCTCCCGATCTCGCCGTTTTCCACACACACCGCCCTATCACATACCTCTCCTCCTGACCATTCTGCTTGTGGCAATAGGACTCGACGAGTTCATCTCGCCCACACAAGCACCACAGCGCCCGCTCTGTCTGTGACGCTCACAGGATGACGACACGTCTTGTAGCTCCTAAACACCCCCTGCCTCCTTGACTCGCTCTGTTTTACACCTCCTTCCAGCACGAGGAGACGGTTCCTCTCAGTCTGACCCTCTGTCTGTCTCCAGGGCCTGCTGCGGGAGCTGATTCGCAACTGCGACAGCCAGCTCAAGTCGGATCTGACGGCCGAGGCGGCCGCCTACGAGCACCGACTTAACCTCGGCTCCAAACACATCTACCACCTGGAGGCGTTCGTCGCAAAGTTCATGGCGCGCTACAAACGCTTCCTCGACGAGAACATGATGGATATGTAAGGTGAAGTGAATGAGGAATGGGGGGGTGCGGGCTGTAGCGCTAGAGACGCTTCCTCGATGAGAACATGATGGACATGCAACGTGAAGTGATTGACGGAGGGGGGGGGGGGGGCTGTAGCGCTAGAGACGCTTTCTCGACGAGGACCCGGTGAAATGTGAGGGAGATGCTGGGAGGACCATGTGGACTGACCAATCACAAAAGGCTGATGATGAGAGGAGGCGTGATGATGAGAACGTGAGGGAGTTCACTGAAGGAGGGTAGGAAGTGGAACAGGTGGACTGAAGGATGGGAGAGAATGGGACGGGGGGACTGAAGGAGAGTGGGAAAAGTGGACTGAAGGATGACACGGATGTCAATGAGCAGCTAGATGCTGGACGATGCTGAATGTGGGGTGATAACGACCGCGTGGTCGTGTCCTGTTGGCGCGAGACCAGCACCAGTTTTTGGTGCGACGTCCCCTGAAAATGGATGCTCACTGTTGAATACACGATGTTTTGTTTGTAGGTGTGTATTTAATTTGGGTTTCATCCAGTGTTAAAGGTTTATGTTGGCAAGCGAGAATGCCTGCTCACCGAGCTGGGATTTAATTCGAATTGCAAGCCGCATACATTGACCAACCTGTTAGTGCAGTAGCCCGAAAAAGATAGTAAATATAAGGAATGGCGCAGCGTCCAAGGATTCAGCAGCATGAATAATTCAGTATCTGAAGTTTCAGGGTCGCTCGTTTTCCTTCATGAGAAGCCCATGTGAGTGAATCCCATTCCGTAGGCATCGCAAACAAAGCATTTTATCCAGATTCAGCTGTTGAGTATCGGGATATGTAACAGCACAGATAACAGTAGTACTGCTGTTATCTGTGGTAACAGCATTACGAGTACAGTCGCGATGTACTCCGCGTGATGGAGCATGAATATTTGTTGCTTTCGGAAGAAAGTTGGATGCGGAGACACGGCACGATGAGCTTCCGTGATGTCGGGTTGGCAGCTACTCCGTCCCGCCTGCTGGGCCCGCAGCGTAATGCCAGCTTTTTTGTGCCAGGATCGATGCCAGGGAGTCGTGAAAAATTTGCCTATTTAATAGCGAGTGAGGCGGTTAAAGAGGTACTGTCAGTGTGGTAGCAACTAGTGATCGCTGACGATAGGGAACATTGCTGTGTCTCGCCGTGGAACAGCTCCCCATCGACCGGGCTAAGGCGGGAACCGCGACTAAATTGGTAATGATGCTGCAATCCCGGCCGCAATTGAGCGCTAGATAAGGAGTTAGCAATGCAGACTCATGAATGTGACGTTATAGAAATATGCATAAGTTTTGCAACAATGATGGCCATCAATGCCGCGTATAGTTTCCTTTGAGGGAAATGCTGGCCTATTATGGGAAGAGTATCATTCTAGTCGCTAATGCCACGTAGTCTTTTACTCTCTTCAAGACGAGACATCATGTATATGCAAAATAAAATGCCATCGAAATTTGATCGAAATTTTATTTCGGGTGTGTATTTTGGTATCGCCCCGGCTGTATTTCGAGTCTACAACCTCGGGACAAGACTATGGGTCTCGGCTGGGGCGATGTCCATCAGGGCACTATTGATTTCCCTCTGTTGGCGGGCCACTGAGAGTGCAGTCTGGGTGACGGGTGAGCGTGGCCCGCCCCCCGAGTGGCATCACCGACTCAAAAACTATCGGGGTGAAGTCAGACTGAGCGGTGGTCGATACTTCAGCGCAGACTGCGAAGGCGCGCAGAACCAGTCATGTGGGCGACGCCTGCGAGGACAGTGACGAGCTGGTCATAACTCAGAGCGGGGCGCCTGCCAGCGATGGCACAGGGTGAAGTCACGTATGGGCACGCCGGCGCCCTGCTGCGCATTATTGCATCTCCTCGGGTGTAGTTGAGGCCGTGGAATTACGAAATAAACTCAAAATTGAGGTGACTGCATCTATGTCTGAATGGGCAGAGGTGAAAATAGAGCGAAGACGTTTAGTTTTAATTTGACCAGTTGAATCACATTGACTAGCCAGGATTTCATTGGCCACGTGGATTGTCCGATCAATTTGATTCAACGATTTACAAAAGTGTTGTACAGTTATTATGCCATGCTTTGCACTGCTTGAGGCAATTAACGTTTACTATTAACCTTCACCATCCTTTTTGATGGGCCCCAATTATCAGCACACAATATTTATTCATGTGTTAGAAATACATGTCTTCAAGCATTAAAAAATACATCAACATCCGCATGTTACATTGCTGCTTTTCACGTAAGCGAATGTAGAATGATATACCTACTCGTGTTTACATATACATAATCGCGCATAAAATGCTTATGCTCAATCTTTTCGGTCACAGTACCTCTACCTACTTTGAATGGGTTTAAACATGGTGGGCAATTTCTCACGTTTTATCTATGTTCTTTCACTGCCGCAAGCACTAATCTCGTGCCCGTATTTCATATGACTGTCAAGAGCATCTCTTCAGCACTATCGCACATTGCTGCTGTTTTTAATAGCTGCTTATTTTTGGTTATACACAGCAGTACCGCTTAATGCCATTCCCTGGGCCACTTTCTTTCATAATGCACTCTTTGACAATGTTTGATTAGTCTCGAATTCACGTCTGATTCAGCGTTCTCTTCCTCGTCACTGGAGCCGAGTCCATCGATGAGTCAGTGACTGCTGTGCTCTCGATCGTCGGATTTTCGTATTTCTCGATAGTCTTACATATGCTATAGGTAGCTATCATGAATCTGGGCTGCTGCCTTCGACGTTGCGGTGATTCAGCGAGGATCTGCCAGTTTTCCAGTACGATACGGTCACTTCACTCAGTTTGATCTGACGAGAGCTGGTAGTCGTGGCGAGAGCCTCTCTGCGTAACAGTGCCCTCCGCTGATACCGCCTTCCTAGTAGTGGTGTCAATCGGAACTTGAATCTTCGGAATTCCGATCTTGTCCAATGTCCGATTCGGAATTCGGTTGGACAATGACAGCAGGCTTTGGACAACATTGGACATTCGCCTGCTACACCTCGACATTTTTATAAAGTAATCGTGTTTAACATTGATTGGCTATATTAGAAAGCTCAGCAATCGATATGATTAACATTTCCGAGCTGGTGACGCTTCATTAAAAGCAAATTAGATAACAGTGTTGAGTGTAAAGCATTGCGTAGGTGTCGGACATCTTTGGACAAATGGCTGGCTCGGACATTTTTGGACGGACAGTCGACGTAAGTATTGGACATTGGACGGACATTGGACATACGTTTTCTGAAAATGACACCACTACTTCCTAGCTACTCTTGTGGTGTCGCTCCTTCGCTGACACATCTTTTGCGTGGCACTCTACGCTGTCCTATCTTTTCGAGCTCCGGACAACGACATACAAATCAGCCGTTCACAGCTACAGTACAGAAGCTCATCACTTGTCGTCCATCGTCATCAAGACTGATCCTTCCATTATCGCGGCTCATCATTATTTCTTCCTCGCCTATTCTATTCCTTCCACTCACGTCTCACCTCTCATCACTTTCCTCCGCGGCATATCACACAGGCCACACGGTTCACTCACAGTCACCAATTCTGATGTCCGACCGCCAGAGCCGCGGCCAGGGGTGCCATCAGCAGCCAGGCTGCGCCCGCCGCCGACGGAGCCCCGTTACAGAGGTCCGTCAGACAGGTGCACCGGCCGTCCTCACAGCGCTCCTTTTTGCGCAGAGACACGAAACAGGTGCGCAGCTTGTCTGTCTTAATGCAGGCGTTGCTCATCGCGGGGCAGTCCATGATGAAGCGCGTTTGCGGCCGATGCGGCTTGAAGTTGTCGCAAAGAGGTAGGGACTTCAGCACCAGTCGGGTTGCCAAGCTCTGTTGGCTGGTGTCGAGCGGCGCACACGCGTAGCAGCGCAGTGCTTCGGCCGGCAGCGGGCCGCAGCCCAGCACCACCACCAGCACTGGCACCAGCAGCGGCAGCAGGGACGGCGTGTGCGCCATCCTGACTGCAGCGGGCTGCACTGGCCGCTGTGGCGGCGCCCGTCCGGACCGGTCACGGCCGCACCTGTCATGGGCCGTGCCAAGAGAGGGGGCAGGGCCCGCCAGCCGGCCGGGCCGCTGCCAATCGCCGCCCCACTCACCGGTTTCCGCCCCCGGACCTGGACCTGGACCTGGCGATGGCCGTGGTTAGTTGATAATATTGGTTCTCAGAAGGTGCCCTTTATTCCCCACGCATCCTTTATGTGAGGCCCCACACCGCGCCGGTTTCTTGCAGATAGGTACTGATATGATGATGATGCGGATACTCTGAAAGGTGATATTGATGCGGATACTCTGAAAATGAAAATCCTTTTTTGCCTAAGACGATCCGATAGCTTATGGATCAACCGTGCTTTCGGGACGGAGTTGCTAGTTTTGTGCTTCCGTTAGTATCACTAAAAAAATATGTGACCTACGTCAGCTTGGCCGTGGATTGGCCATAGCGGTCTACACCTGGTACCGTGAATGTTTTAGTTCTGACGGAATGTTTTAGTTCTGACTCAAAGCCCTATGGATATCTATTATTGGAGGTACCTATAAAGTTCTTATATTTTCTTTACAGCGATTTCTGTGCTCTTGAGTAAATGATCGATTTCGTAGAGAAATAAGGTGAAACGTTTTCATCCAATTAGTGGCGTTTTGTTCCGTTCCGGTCCCCATAAGTAACATGGACTGGTTCTGACTCCGAACTATTTTTAGTCACTTACTTCATATCGGAATAGCTATGGTGTAACCAAGTCATTGGTTTAGTTTTGTATTGCTCAGCACCATCTAGCTCCTCTCCTCACTCATCGACTTCCAGTAGTCTAATTACCAAACTAATTTAAAACTTTATTGCACCGTAAAACATTGAAGCTTCCGTTAATGTTCGGAAGTAAACGCACATGCGACACAATACAGAACAAGCATAAAGGAAAATCATGCACAAAGAGTTAATATTTGACTAAGAGACGAACACACAACACAGTCACCTCTATTAATGACTACCTCAGCAGCCGCCGCATGGATTTGTTGTCCATTTTGTGACACAAACCCAACTTATCTGAGGTCAGGTCACCATGTCGAATGCAGCGTCACATTACCACAAATTAATGAAAGATGCATGTATTGGCTACAAGACCTGGCTGTTGAAAACGGCTTGTGAACCTGCTACAATCAGCTTGTTTCAAAGATAGGTATGTAATAATGTTCTAACAATTGTTTTCCAATAAAGCACAGGTACTTGATGACAACTCGTGTATACGTCTCCACGAACACACGTTTTCACTGGTATCAACTTTTTAACCGAGTCCTCAAGTCCGTTTTTTATGATATAGGGCTTTGAGGTGCCTCTCAGTCTATCCACCCGAAAACTAGCTCTGTTTAGATCCTAGTAAAACGGCATGCTTCTGCGACGTACGCAGAAGATGCCTGACGAGACGGTTCTTAAGGAAACAGTCCCCCCTGACGATACGAGAGAAGTGGTGCGGTGCGATTATGGCACAGCCCATCAAACGAGAACAGCCATAAGAACGTCTTCCTCTTGCTGCTCATGAGCCGGCGATGTAGCGATGTGAAAATCACCTAGAAAATGCTACAAGTGCCGATAAACTGCGTTCGTCGCCAGCATGAACAGCGTACGGCAGCTTCGCTCCTCGCACGATGAACCCGTCGATCGTCTAGCGTCCTCCCAGGAGCGCTGCGATGACGGCCGAGAGCAGCAGCGCGGCCGACGGCCAGCCGCGCTCCGAGTCGTTGCACAGGTCGACGGCGCAGTAGCAGTTGGGGTCGCCCTCCTTGCAGCCCATCTCAGCCTCCTGGACGCAGCCGCGCGCGACGTTTGTCGAGTCCTCCGGGTCGGTGATCTTCACGCAGCCGAAGAAGCCCTCGGGGCAGGTCTGCTTGTACTCCGAGCTGCCGTTGAACTTTGCGCACGGCAAGTCGAGGTTTTTGATCAAGACACCGCCCTTGATGGCCGAAGAGCTCTTGCATGAGAAGCATGAAAAGGCGTGCGCAGAGACGGCCAGACTAGCCGTGAGGAGGACGATGGCCAGCCTCATGACTGCAGATGATCTGGGCCAAACTGGGTAGTGCGGCGGTGAGGTGTAGCCGACGGTACCCGACTGGCGGTCAGAGGAGGGCCGCGGAGGTCCGTCAGGCCGCAGGTGACACAGCCGAGTGACGCCGCCGTCGAGTGACGGCCGGTCGGTGCCGGCGGCCGCACGTGCCGCCGCTGACGTCACTGCGCAGCGGTCGACATCGGAACGGCGAATATCAGCGTGAGCTGCTAATGACGTCAATGGTGGACGCCAAATGCACAGGAACCGACTGAGAGGCGAGCTTCGCATCGTTACGGGCGCCGAACAAACACCAAAGCGCCGCCTCTAGAAGCCGCCTCTAGAAGCCATTTTGAAGTATAAAGGAACTGGCGGATTTGTTTCGAGCGGCATCGATCGCTACTGCTAGGCATTGCCATAGCTATGTATCTGTACCTAATAAGGCCATCGAAGCATCACTAGTGGACCCAGGGGAGGGGTCACTTGAGGCAAATACTCCCATAGGCGGCGGAACGGGGAGGGCATGGATGAGATAATAATGGATTGGTGTCTTCGCCGTTTTTGGCGACATTGAGCTCAGGCCTGCCATCTAGCGGGAGAATTATCGTAAGTTAGGAGCAAGCCGAGTGAACTCCGCTGATTAGCATTGTGACACACGGGAGTGTGGTGTAGTAGCAGGCTTGTTGTGCAATTTTTCAAAAGGTTATGTCTTTATATGTCAGTAAAAGCGAAGAAATTAATAGATTTATGTGCAGGGTCAGTAGTAAGATAAGCAGTTCCATGTTATTTCTTCATTAAATCGTGAAACAGGGAGTTATTGGAGACTTCGCCAGCACGTGTCGTTTTCGCTATTTTACACATGAGTCTTTACTTGGCCTAAATCAAACAAATTGTCCGATCAAAGAACAAAACGAACGTAAGTACCTACTATCTATAAGTCTAATGGAAAAGTTAAACGAAATTGCTAACGTCATTGCGGCTCAATATGTCATTCAAGACGCTCTATGAAAAGGACTCAACCAGTGCTGCGTAGTCGATGAAAGTTCAGTGACTTTGGCTCCAACTCCGATTCCGGTATCCAAATATCGACTCCGACTCCTCCGGGCAGAACTGTCGATTCACACAGACTCCGAATCTGACTCCGACTCTGCAGCCCTGGTAAGTCTGTGGAGTCGATGACTTTTCGGTGACGTTCGACTCATACTCAGACTACAGCTTTTAAAAATTTAATCAACCGACTCCGAGTCAGAACAGAACCGCTGGCTCTGACTAAAACTCCGCAGCCCTGGCCTAAGATAGCCGCCTAAAACAACTTTGGTGTGTGATCTTCTTCGTACATTGTTAATGTTATTTTAAACAAGGAGTGGAAAAGGGAGACGAAGCCTTCACAAACAAGGATCTCCTGTTGCGGATCAATCAGCTGCTGGAACAGAAAGGCATAAACACCACGCATCTCATTTCATCGTTTTCCTAACGACTCTGCACCAATGTAAGTACTGATCAATGCAATGCGAGCATCGATGTGACTTTGTGTACCAAGTTTGAGTGTTATCCGCCCCGCCGTTCTTGAGATATGGAAGCGGCACCCCGCACGTGCGCACGTGCAGTAGCACCCCCATAGTGACACATGGAAATGCATTTGCCACTGCCGGTGTCTATCTATTGACGAAGTTATACTGTAATGGGCCCAGCCATTGCGGAGTTACTTTATGTGGAACAATTTCGACACCCCTAAGTTGGCACGTGGCACGTGCCGTAACGTTAGCCAAGATGAAGAAAATCGGGCGAAATTCGGAGAAGAAGGAATAATCCTACCAAATATGTATGACATATTGTCAAATTGCTGTACAATTGTGAGTAAATGACCATATAAAAGGTCGTACAAGCCGATGGGAATGGGCGTTTGAATACACACCGTCTTTACGCATTTTATTTTCGTTATTACCTAAAGGCTGCTTGACGTTTTTGGCTTTCAAGCATTTAATACATTTTTTTGTCGTCTCAGGTCCAGTAAGATTACCTCCAACTCGTGGGAATATGCACTTCAAGCCAACTAACACACCACACCCACGTGTGTCATAATGCTGAGAGATGGCGTTCACTCGGCTTGCTCCTAACTTACGATAATTCTCTCGCTAGATGGCAGGCCTGATCCCAATGTCGCGGATCCCAATGTTAATTTCCACGAGACACCAATCCAGTGTTATATCATCCATGGGGAGGGCACCGGCCGGGCACCGTGCCCCCTTTGATTTTGGCATTTTAACATTAGCCCTATGGACGTTGCATGGAAAGAATGGGACTAAAAGTCGGCAGTGCCCCCCTTAATTGAAGGTGTTCCGCCGCTGCTAAATGCTCCTCCCCCCATTCACCCCCGTAGCGCCCGACATCGAGGAATATTGTCGTTTTCTAGAAAAGACAGGAAACCAAACAACTCTAATTTAGAAAAAAACTGGCTTAAAGTTGCACAACGGTGAGAAGTACGTTATCGAAATCCGAGGAGCTTTTAGAATTCCGGCAACTTGTGTGGGGGTATGCCCCCTCCCCCATTCCCCCCCCCCCGCAGCGTTCGAGACCGCCTTTCTAGATCCACCTATGCTGAGCAATGAGCATAGCCCTTACAGCGTTTGTATCTTTTTGTTTTACACAACAAATTACAAATAGAAACTCGTATGTATTTTGGAGGTGTTTATTATAACACAAAATATTGTTGAAGATACAAAACGACGCAGCAGTGACAATAAATATACATAGCTGCAATGAATGAGATAGATTTAGGTGTGTTTTGTGAAATGGTCGTCTTTCTTAGAACTGGAACATAAAACACTCGCAAAACTTTCGAAAAACACTTGACGAAATTTGTAACAAATACCTATTCGAACATTAACAATGTGTCATACGTAGACATCATTCTTATGTGTACAATGCATGATGAGCTCTTGGAATGCATATTTAATCCAGCTGAGTACCGTAAGGGAACAAACAGTGCAAAGCGAAATATCACACCACCGAGACATCACGGGCCTTCCAGCAAGTAGTTGCCGCGCAATATTTACACCATTCGCTGTCAGCTACAGCTTTAAAGCGCGGCATCTTCACCTACGGCTTCGGAGGCCGATGGGACGGAGATATGTCTACGCTACGATCGACCTACTCCGATCAGTCCTCCGTCAGTCGCCTCCGCCTCATATGAGCCGCAAACGGATGGCCAAGCCGCATATAAAAGCGTGACTAACATTGCGGCGTCCAGCGCTCAGTAGGCGCTCAGCTCAGGGCCTTCTCCGGCGCTCCTTTTTCCCCGCCGGGCTGGGTCCCGCTGCGTGCTCGCGAGACTGCCTCTGGCGCGGCTAGCCGTCTGTGCCGACTGTGTGACAGTCCGGGCGGTGACGGTAGCAGACGGGGTGCTGTCAGACAGCGGATGACGGGCCGGTGCCGTCGAGTCCAGACGTTCAGCTCCGACGCTCTGATGACTTTCCCGCGCGGATGGCATTCAGAGGCAACTCGATCGTCTAGCGTCCTCCCAGGAGCGCTGCGATGACGGCCGAGAGCAGCAGCACGGCCGACGGCCAGCCGCGCTCCGAGCCGTTACACAGGTCCGACGAGCAGTAGCACACGTTGTTTTTATCGTTTTCATGACAGCCGTCGTCCTTGACTTTGTGGATGCAGCGACGCGCCTGAAGTTTACTGTCTTTCGAATCAACACGAATGCACGCCTTCTCCAGCGAGCTGCACTCCTTCTCAAACTTTTTGTCGGGGCTGCTCGGGTCGAAGTCGTCGCACGACGGCATGCCGGTCAGCGTCGACACGAGGTCGATCCCAGCTACCTCTGCTACCTCTGCCTTCCCGCAGGTGTAGCATTTGAGCGCCTCGCCGGTGGCAGCCAGTCCCAAGATGGCGGCAAACACAACGGCGTTCATGTTGGTTCAGTGGGGGACGACGGAGGATCTCAGTGGCGGCGGTGGTCCGACGCTGGACGGCGCGGTCGGCAGAGACGGATCGGTCGGTCTGAGCGGAGAACGAGCCACGACTGGAGGCGCCCCGGAGCACGCCGCGGCTCATCCGCGCGCCGGCGCACCGTGCGCGACCACGCCCGGCGGCCCGGGACGTCGAGAGTGGGGCCGACGGAGAGCAGCGGCGCCGACCAGCGACCGCCGCTCTCCCAGGCACTCAGAGCCCTTCCCTCGCTGACTTGGGTGTTGTGGATCGATTCCTTTCCCCTTCCCGAGCATGAGTCAGATCATAGCTGTTCTCAGTCGACCTAAAATTGCACTGGCCTCACACTAGGATCACTAAGATGGTGTTTAAGTCTAACCAAAGCAATCGTTATCATACAAAAGCATCATCATGACCTAAGTGGTCTTTAAATGATTGTTTGATGTGGACATCTAAATAAACATTAAACTAATGACGTCTAACTAGCATCTAACTAAACAATCTGAACCCAAGATTTCTTCTTTTTCACCATCACATATATAGTTGTCTTCAACTTCATTCATGTGGCGCAAGTTGGGGTAGCAAGGTTATGATTTTGTGATGGCTTGAGGGACGTCGAGTTCGTTATTAAAGCGCCCTATTGCTATGCTCATATCATATGTGACGAACGTATAGGCCAAACCCATGTGGATGAGACATGCCGTATTTCATCCGTGTCAAAAGTAACTAGTTACGCAAGACAATGACGTGCCTTTTCCTTCCTCCGTTTCTGCAAAATTGGTAACGATCTTATCCCTCGCCCTGGCAGGGGGGTTGATGCGACCCCCCCCCCCAAGGTTTTTCGAAGATGGCGTAAAAACGGCGGCGCCAAATTTGGCACAGCCTACCCAGCCAGCCTTCCCAAATGGGGCCCATATGGGCTGAAAGTGGGGCATCTGGGCTTAAGTGGGCATGGGCTACATGTGGGCTATTATCTGGGCTAAATCTGGGTCCCATATGGGCTGAGCCCCAGCAAACATGCCCACATGGGTCCCATACGGGGTGAACATGGGCCAGATGGGCCCACGTGG